TAAAAGGAAGCCAATGAAGAGAAGCCAGGATAGGAGAGATATGATCCAGTTGCGGTGTTCAGTTTTCTCCAGGGGGGCTATTAATTAAAACAAGACATATACCAAAAACCAATCAAACTTATAGTCTTATAAGCTATCACACCAGTATATTTATATAAATGCCAACAACAAAAACAACATTATAAAAACACTTTATAAAAACAATGCATAATTTAATAATAATAATTGAAGATTATTGATCTCACTTTGGAGACATGTTACCTCTGTATTTAACCCATCCCCTTGGGAACAGTGAGCTGCCATCGTGGGGCGCCCAGGGAGCAGTGTGGGTTTGAGGGTCTTGCTCAGAGACCCAGAGTGGCAGTCTGTGGGAGTGGGGCTTGGACTCAGAACCTCAGGATTCCAAGCTTTATGCCCTAATCACCAGGTCACCACTCCCCTGTTTAATGTACAGGTTTAATTTTTGTATAAGTGTTGCCCTTCTGAGGCTTTATGAAGGCAAATCTGTGTTTTGCATGGTCCAATATGGTGTTTCACACCAAAAAAAAATAATGTACCAGTTTAGTAATGGAGAAGCAATTAGGCAGCATTATATTTTTTAATATATAAAAACTATTTATTTGGAATAAACTTAGTTGTTTTTTTTTTTATCTGCATAATTAATTACCCCACCATTTTTGCACCTCCTCAAGGTATGGCTGAATCGCCTTACTATAGTACTTCCTTGTCTAATCATGCACCTCCGGTCATAGTTATGGTCTAGTTATGGTAAATATATAGAGAAGTGCTTTGCTTATAAATAAACATCTAGCATCATACTTTGACTTACAGCATTCCCTGATACTGAGCAATGATGTAAAGAGGGGAAAAGGAAATCTAAGAAACCTTCAGCAGAACCCATCTTAGTTTAAACAACCTTTTGCCATGAACCAAGAAGACAGAGCATAGACACAAATGCAAATGATTTATTCCAATCGTGACTGTTTCAGGAATGGACTTTTAGGATTTTTAATCACCTGTTGCTGTTAAAAGGTTTTTCTCTTTTTTTCAGCAAACTCAGTTTTAAGTTTAGAAACAGTCTGACATTCACTTCTTTTAAACTGGTTTTAACTCCTTTAACAATCCAAAATTTATCACATCTTACTTATTAGCCTACTTGAAATAAAAAAAACAGCTGTTGGGTTTCTTTCTGTTTTTGCCTCCAGGTGAACCTTTTGACCCCACGATCCTTCTGAGCCGCACAATATCAAACGTAATCTGCTGCCTGGTGTTTGGCCAGCGCTTCAGTTATGAAGACAAGCAGTTTCAGAACCTTCTCAGTTCTATATCTAAGTTCATCAGGTTTAACAGCAGCCCCTTGGGTATGGTAAGTCTGAGGTGCTCCTTGAAGCTTTTTGTAACCTGGTCTTTTATTTCTCAAAATTATGCACACCTCTTTCAAAAGTGTTGACATATCATTTTATAAGTATTCTACAGTCCAACTGAAAAACAAACTTGTAGAGAAAAATCTAAGAATTGCAAAGTTAAACTTGTTATTAAAAGTTTGCCTTTCAATTTGTTAAACCCCTTTTTAATTGCATTTCAATGGCCAGTACATTTTCATCAGGATTTCCCAATCCCAGTCATCAGATCTAACTGACCAGGAACACTTCTCTTTTCTGCAGCATTTTTAAGTAGGATTGGGCACCAAGGAATTAATTAAAACCAGGAGTAATACCACTTTCCCACTGGCTGGAAATCCCGTTAAACCCAGAGACAATCTGCCTTTAGTGGCAGTGGGAAATGCTCATTGATGCGTGTCTACCCAGGTCAAAGGACCCGGGAAGTTACCTGCGTTAAAATCTCCTCAGCTTTGATCGGTATACTGTGGGAACACCAGAGCCGGGGTGACCTGCTAATTTATGCGATACTATTGAGTACATAACGCCAGTCATATCTAATCTAACAAGCCAAAAAAACTCCGTTTACATTCAATGAACATGGTGTAGCGCTGGTGAGAGGGATTTGGACGGGGAAAAGGGTGTAGTAAATAGAATTTACTACACCCTTTTCCCCGCCTGCCTTCCATGTTGCTCTATATTGTTTACTTTCCTGAGTTTTGTCACACTGGTAACATCATCAACTTTAACCCAGCGTGATAGTGTCACCAGACATGCTGTGGGGGGAAAGAGGGCATGAAGCTTGCAAGCAAAGGATTAGACCCAGCTTTTTTTGGCAATGGGAAGGGAGCCAAAAGCAGATTTTTAGCGGTTCGACCCATGTGCAAAAAAACCTGGGTTTACCCGCTGTTTTCATTGGGAAAGAGGCTTTATATTTCAGTTCTTCCAGAAACATTCATATTCTTTATTTTTGAATTTTGATAGCAGAACTACCGACTCTAAGAAAAAGCTAGAGCATATTATGGAATGTTGTAAACACTTCCTGGCTGGTTGAGGTGGTGCAGGATAAAGTGTAATCCAGGGTTTCTAACACAATAAAAAGTCTCTAGGCCCTTTTTAAGATCTCTGCAAACTGGGATTTTATCTGAAAAATAAGAATCATTGTTACATTCTACTGAACAATTGAGCTTAATTTTAGTTTAATCAGATTGTCCATAAATGATGCTAGGAAGATAAAAGGTGGATTCTGGGAATAAAAATAAGAAAACGTTTTAAGAAGTCTAAGATATGCAGATCTATGCATTAAAATGACTACTTATTTAACTAAGAGTCATTATTTTCTTCAAAACATTGCCTTTTCAACAAGTTCTGGGTTTCAAAACTACCATTTCTCCATATTATGTTCTGGGAAACAACTATGTTGCTTTTCGTCCACAGCTGTACAACATCTTCCCTTCGGTCATGCACAAACTTCCTGGACCGCATCAGACTGTCTTCGCTGGGATTGATCAGATCAGAGATTTCATCCAGATCAAAATCCGGGAGCACAAAGAGACGCTGGATCCCAGCTCACCGAGAGACTTTATTGACTGCTTCCTTATCAGAGCTCATCAGGTTGGTGCATCGATTGTTTTTTGCTTTAACTGAATATGAGCAGAATCTTTTTGCTTTTACTTCATCACATCAAAAGAGTAGTTAGTATGAAAAGTGAAATCTGAACAATTATTTTTTTACAATCAGCAGAGCTTGCAATTTCAGTTTTATTCCAAAAAAAGAAAATAAAATAAAAATCCACTGGACGTTGTTTCCAAGTTTTAAGATATTTTGCTTCCGATCCAGGATGTCAGGAATAGCGTTGACTTCGAGGTTTTATACAATATAAATTTAAACTCAAACCTCGAACTCAACGCCATTTCTGACATTTTGAATTGAAAAAGCTTCCTGGATGGGAAGCGAAATATTTTCAAACTTGGAAAAAAAGTCCAGTGGATTGTTTTTTATTTTCTTTTTTTGGAATTACTATGACCTGGATGACTGAGAATCTTCACCAGCAGATTTCAGTTTAAAATATTTATGGAAAGATTCTCAAAGGAGAATTAAGCAAATCTTCAGCTGCGACCTGATATTTTTGCTTACTGTGACAAACATACCATTCTTTATTAACAGAGAAAACATATAAGATATACAAGATGTTTAAAACTGGTAAAAACAAATATGAAATAGAAAAGGTGGTACGAATTTAGATACAGTTCATTCAAATTTTCCTAATATGATCGCTTACAATTCGTTTTTTAATATTGTGGCTGAATAATAATTGGAAAGCTTAAATTTTTGTTCTTTCCCAGGGTTTTATGTGATTTAATTACAGACTTATTTCATTTTTATGTTTTTGTTCTACGACTACATCTCACATACAACAAATCACCAAATCAAAAACAAATAATCCATGTTAAAATACATTTAATCTTTGAAATCTCCATTTTTCTTATTCAGGAGAAAGATAATCCATCTACTGAGTTCCACTATGAAAACCTGGTATCTACGGTGCTGAATTTGTTTGCAGCAGGAACAGAGACCACCAGCTCCACCATCAGATATGCTCTCAGTGTGCTGATAAAACACAAGGACATACAGGGTGTGTAGACAGTTTGTTAGTAAAGCTGCCTTTGATAGCTTTAAAGTTTAGCAGACATCAATTTTGCTTCATTGTTTCCAGAAAAAATGCAAGAGGAGATTAACACTGTGATCGGCAGAGATCGGTGTCCCAGCATGGAGGACAGGAAATCTCTCCCATTCACTGATGCCGTCATTCATGAGGCTCAGCGTTTTCTGGACCTCGTCCCCTTCAGCATCCCTCACTACGCTCTTAAGGACGTCTCTTTTAAGGATTACGTGATCCCTAAGGTATTCAAAAATCCAAAAGATAAACCAAGAAAAATTTATCTTTTTTTTCTCAAATTTGATAGAGAGAAGAGAAAGAACAATAAAAAGCTGCTTTATGGTCATTGGACAGGTTACAATTAAATGTCATTTGGTAGCATCTCTTCATAGAAGAGTCAGTGTCAGTGAGATATAGTTATGTTGTTTGATATATAGTCTTTCTTAATATTAACAAAAAACATGCGCAGTAGACATATAAAAATCAAATCAGTTTATATATCACCAATTAATGACATATTATCTCTAAGCTGTTATAGCAGCTATATTTTGTTCTATCTGAGACATGGCGGGGTATTTGGAATAATTTATTTACTAAAAATCAGCCCTTCTTTCAGCCTCAGCCTTAACATCTCCATTTACTTTTCTAATGAACTTTTCTTTTTTTTTTTTTTTTTACAAAACTAAAAGCTGTCCATCCTAAATAACAGCCCCACACAATGATCTGCTACGAAGAATTTTTTTGATTCACATGGGATGTAATCCATCCTTCCTGACAAAGCTACCTTCTCCCAGATGATTGACTAATTCTAAGTCTTATTAAAGCTCTCTGAGAGCTGTCCTTAGCTCTTTTTGGATAAATCTTTCTTCTTCTTTTTAAATTTTCGTTAAGGAATTTTGGGAGACATTTTGTTGAGGCTTATAACATTAGTATCAGGGTTTCAGTACAATTTAAAGAACTGCCATTGGCTAGTGTTTCTCCACATCATAGAGATGACTTTACACTGATTAGTTATGAAATCTGCCAAAGTTTTTGATCTCTTAGACCAGGCATCCCCAAAGCCGATCCTTGAGGGCCCCTGTCCTGCAGGTTTTAGAGGTTTTCCTGCTCCAGCACAGCTGATATACATTGATACTTGATTAACAGTTTTTTACTGAACTGCAATCATCAGAATCAGCTGTGCTAAAGCAGAGAAACCTCTAAAATCTGCAGGACAGTGGCCCTAGAGCAGTGTTTTTCAATTCTGGTCCTCAAGGCACCCTGCTCTGCTTGTTTTGGATGTTTCCGAGCTTCAGCACACCTGATTGAGATGATTGCGGTTCAGCAAAGCCTGATAATCTGCTATCAATTGATAACAGGTGTGCGAAAGCTGGGAAACATCTAAAACATGCAGGGCAGTATGCCTTGAGGGCCAGGGTTGAAAAACACTGCCCTAGAGGACCGACTTTGGGTTGCCTGCCTTAGATGAGGCTTAGTCACGTTATATTCGTACACAAAAATAGGAAAAATGTTGTCATTATGATAAAATTAGGTTACTTAGAACAATAATCTGTTCCAATGATGTTTGGATTGTCTTTTGTATGGAGGACCAATCCTGCCATATTAACAAATACATATAAAAAATAACTTGTAAGTATAATTTGCTGGTGGTATAATGGCTTAAAAACTCAACTAAACCTATATTAGTGAGCCATTAAATGCAACAAACTGATAAAAACTATAGATGTGTTGTAACTATAGATGTTCAATTTTATTCTTGTAAATCTTTTACCTTTTATTTGTCTTCTTAAAGGTTTATGTATTTAGAAAGTTCTTTTACTGATTCTTTATTTTTCAATTTCTAGTAAATGTATTTATTTTTTTCCCTTCTTATTTTTGTCCACCCAAATATATTTAAAACATTTTTTTCCAACCTTTATATTATATTTCAATTGTTTTATTTTGCTTTTAATTTGTATTAAATCCTATATTTCTTTGATGCAAGTATTTTTTCAGCTAACATATTTCTCTTAAGCCATTATATTTCTGCCTCTCCTTTTTCTGCCACTTTTTTTTTCTAACACGTGCAGCGGAAAAAAGTAAAAAGGGTCAGACATTGGAACAGCATTGCAACTGTAGTTTCTCTCACTGCAAAAACAATTCAGAAATAATTAGATATCTCTTAAATTAGGTGTATTTACCCTTAATTTGAGCAGGTAAATAAGATGATTTGCCAATTTCATGAGTATTTTTACTCTAAAAATAAGATAAATAGATAATATGTACTTGAAATAAGACAAAGTAATTGTTTTTTTTTATTTCAAATGTAAATTGTCTTGTTCCATTGGCAAAGTGTGCCACTTCCCCTCTTAATTCAATAGAAAATATACTTATTTTAAGGGGAAATGACATATCTCGATTTCAATTTTTTGCAGTGCTCCTATTGAGTGACTGCATAGAGCCAGTAGTATTGGCTAAATTTCATCAGGATCTCGCTAACTGAAATGTTACAGATTTGGCCTTAGAGTAGTTCAGTTAGCAGCAGGTAGTGCAGTTAGTTGGGTTATTTTATTGTGCAGTGTTTAACCCAGAAAGCATATTAGTTTTAAAGGAAGCAGGAAGGTGCTTCAAAATTAAAGTATGCCTCGCACATAGCTCTTCCACATATAGAAGTCTGAAAAAGGCTTATTACTTAAAACATGTTTTAGAAACCTCCTGGTTGAATTAACATCATAACCCATATATACCACACTA